GGGGATTTGAATACATTCTGAAGTGACTAGATTTTATTCAACCACATAAATTTGATCAGTCAGATGAAGAGTGATAAAACAAACCTGTTTTTTTCAGGAAGGTTGTTTTTTTATCACCCTTCATCTGACTGATTAAATTTGTACAACAGCCTTGTCACATTTCAAATCAGTTATCTTTGCATCTTCTGTTTTTCCCAAATGCTTGACAACCTTTTAAGTTGCTATTGAAATGTTTGACATTCAATTCATGTGGTAACATAACACTGCACATAACAATACGTTCCCACAGCACTTTCTGTGCATATGCATGTCTTCTAGTGTATTGTATCGTACGTAGTAAACATTTGTACATGGTATAAATTAATTATGAATAATAATAAGGACAAAAAAAAAACCTGACCTCTATCCCAAACCCTGACCCCTGTGTCGTTACCCAGCCTTAGGAGAGCAATTTAAAACAAAATGACATATTCTCACAGGTTATATTTAGGGTCATGATGACTTAGATTAATTTTGAGGCTCATCCATACTCACTGTTATCTGTCTTTCGATGCCTCAACGATGCTTTTGGTCTTTCTTCTTGAAACAGACAGCACTTTCACAGAAGTGGGTAAAAGAGAATATTAGGCTGGGGTTAGTTCAGAGCAGGAATCAGGAAGTCAAGGATCAGAGTAAGAGGGAAGGGCTGCTGGTATGAAGCTATGTTCCTGTTCTATATGAATAAATTGCAGATGATTGGGAACGCCTGACAAGAGCTTGACTTTGAAATGTAGCCTGTTCGGTATGCTGAAGGAAACAGTGCCAAAGTTAAGATAAAGGCGGACTCTAAGTCACAGCATGCAAAAAACTAAAACTAAATATGTGAAGATATAATTATACATGACTGCGTCATCAATGCAAGGTGTGAAAGTTCAGTGTGGCCTCTGGAGAAAAAAAACTTTATATAATTTGCATATAAACTCATCTTGTTATTTCTGATCTTTGGCCATCTTTTTCAGTTTTTTCTTCTCTAACAGAAACTTCACAGTAAAAGCCTGAACAAACGAATGCGTATGAAAGGATCCAGATGTATAAACGATATGAAATGTTGGCCTTTCAAATCCAGATGAGAAAACTACCAAGTTAAAGCAGTCTATGATTTAGCCAACACTTTATACAGCTGTGTTTCCTTTTTTATTTTCACTGTGACCCTGAAAAAGGACTCTTTGTGTTAACCATTAGTAGTTGCAGGAAATAAATGGCGGTAAATCAAAAGGGGGATCAGTAAAAATAGAAGCTGAGTCCACAAGTGAGGTAGAGACAGAACTAGATAAACAAGTCCAACATGGAGGCCCCACCTTTCAACTTACGGGATCTGTTGCTAACATGTTGGTGCAGATACCGCAGCACACCTTCAGGGGTCTGATGGAGTCCATGACTCGACAGGTCCGGGCTGTTCTGGCAGCAAAAAGGACCTGGACAACACTGTAACTGTGCAAATTGTTGACAAGTTTTGCATTTTTCTGTTTCATTTTGAATGTTTGTTTGTTTTCAGTTGATTTTCTTACCAGAGTAGGTGTGACTGTAATTTCAGTCTTTATACGTGGCGTAATATGTAGGGCAAAGGCAACATTGATAGTAGATAATAAAATACAAAAAAGAACTTTTTTCATCATGGGGAAGTCTGCAGACTTGACAGTTGTTCAGATGACGTGAATAAGCCACAGAAGGGCGCTGCTGAAAAGGCTTGCTGTATTTGTCTTGGCCCCTGGGTCTTGAATTTCTCCGTGGATTTGTGATACGGTTTGTTTTGAAGACATTTGTGTCTAAGTTTCTCTCGTTTTGTTACATCAGTGTTAATGTTCCTGTTTCCCTTGATTTATTATATCTTCCAGGGTTATGTTCGAGTTGGGTTGTGTGTCTGTAGTGCCTTGTTTGCTCTAAGCTAAATATGGTTCGGTAGTTCCCTTTTGTGATCCTATTCGGTTCGTTTAGTCTTGTCTCCGTGTCTGTGTTATGTCTCTGTCAGTCTCAGATGTTTGAGTCTCTGTCTTGGTTATTTCCAGTTTTATTTTGATGGTCTCTTGTGATTTCTATCTAGTTTGACTTCCCTGTCTTGTTATCTCTGATTTGTTCCAGCTGTGCTGTCTGCTGTTTCCACTCCCCTCTTTATCCGGTGTGTATTTATTCTCTGAATCTCCTCTTGTCCTTTGTCACATCCTTACTCAACGCTGTGTGCTCCTTTGTTCTGTCGCGTTCCCTAGACTCCTAGTTTTATATTCCTGGCTCCAGCCCTGCCCTATTTTTGTATTTTGGAAAGTCTTCAGCATTAGAACTGCCTTTTTTCACATTCTGTCTCCTGAGTCGTGCATTTTGAGTCCGTATCTTGCCTGCCACACAGTGTTTTAAGACAGTACTGAAGCTTATTAATGGAAAGTTGGGGATTACCAAAGGGAAAAGTAGGACTCTAAGGAAAAGTTGAGTCAAGATCTCAGCAGAGCTTCACAAGCAGCAGACTGAGGCTTGTGTTAGAGCATCAGGGGCCACCACACTGTCCCTTTACTGATATCAAACCAGCTCTGAATAATAGCATAAGTGGGGAAAACAGTCTTCTTCAGATCAAGGTAAAGTTTTCATTTTATTTAGTTCTAAAGTCTAGAGGAAGACTGGAGACAGACTGAATCCAAGGTGCGTGAAGTCCAGTGTAAATGTTCCACAATCTGTGAGACTTTGGGCCATCTGTCATCTGCTGGTGTGGGTTGGTCCACTGTGTTTTATCAAGTCCAAAGTCAGCACCGTGTCTAGGAAGATATTTTAGAGCACTTTGTGCTTCCGTTTGCTGATAACTTGTCTGGCAGGACTTAGCGCCTCCATATATTGTCGAATAACTAGAAAACGGTTTGCTGACTGTTGTCAGACTGGACCTGGAAGATTAGAAACAGCCAACCTTAAAATACAGACATGCTCTTCATAAGTTGGACGTTTGAGAAATCAGTTTTACCCCGGTTCTTTTATTCGTCGAAACTTCCAGAGATGGCACCGGAACTCAGTAGTCATTTCACAAAACCTTTATTCATCTTCATTTAAGCATGCACTTCTAGAAGGGAAGACGAGGCCGGTGTCCCTCTCCAAATCTTCACCCCTTTGTTAGTTACAGCCAGCTTTATAGAGGCGACCCCATCATAAACCCCCCCACGGTGTGCTGCAAACTCTGTCTGTGTCTATGTGCACGAGCACATGAATGCCTACATGTGTGCGTTCCCGCGTGTCTATATGAGTGCTCGTGTGTGACTGTGTACACATACCTGTGTGTATGTATGAGTGCACATGAGTGAGTGTGCGTGTGGATGTGTGTGCGTGACAGTTAAAACACTGTGGGTGTAGGTGACTCCCTAGGTCATAAAACCCATCTCTCTTCCAGACGACAGTTATCCAGTTACAAATATTGAGACCCCCACCCAAACATCCTCTGGGGAAATTCCACTCAGCATTAACTCCTCTCTGTTTTACTCTCACAGTTCAAGTGGGGGAGGGGTCTCCTACAATCTACTCCTAAGTTCACGACACAGTGAGGCCTTTATTATATTGAGGGCAGTGTCTCTACAATAGTTCTACATTCTATGTTAACACATTTCTAAACTCTAAAATCAGCTAAACATTCTACAATTACATATCCTTTTTTGATGGATTCTAATAACTTGATGGCTGGATTTCAGATTTTTCCTAACCTATAAACCACCATCATTCAAAGTAAAGCAAAAAAGGGGCTTTACACAATATATGAGTAAATGTAAATGTTAAATACCAGCATGTTTAGAGGCTTACACCTTCTCTTTGTTAATCTTCTTCATTACGCTCGGCTTCCCTTCATAATTCATTAAACTTTCATCTAATCTAAATGAAAGTTGATCCGACCTCATCGCACCGCAGCTCAGGTTTAACCGAGCGCATATTTGGTTAGTGTTTAAACTAATCTGAGACCTTTATTTGTCCAGAGGGAAGGCTCCAGAATCAACAAGATTAAAGCGGTTCCTCTCATCGTTACACGGTAATACATTTATCATTCATTATTAAGGATGAGCTGCCCGAGTCAAATAAATGAGGCGCCGACACTCGTCGTTTATAAGAGGGTCACCTTTATTGTCACAAAAACACAACAGGATGTACAAAAGCAGCAACCTTTTTCATTCGGTTGGTTTTTCTCACACGAAGCAGCAACTTTTAGCTTCCACACACAAAGTTGCGCAGTGTTTTTGCACTGTTTAGTTGGTCTTTAGTTATACTGACTTTGTAGTAGTTTATCATTCTTCTTCACGATTCACAAACAACACTTACCCCACACAGCAAGCACCACTCATCATTTAGTTGATATACAATATCGTTCATTTCTCTGAAGGTATAATAGTCGTGTTTTTTCTTTTCTTTTTTTTTTCTCTGGGGGCTTTACTTTGCCATTTGGAACATAATACAAAAATCTATGTAACTGTACAATTTTTGTTTTACTCTATCATACACTCACAAGTATACACAGAATTTCTGACAAGAAAATGAGACCTCTGTTGACCCAGCGTGCAGATTTCCAGGAATGTATACAGTATGCATGCCATTTTGGAGAGTTTTTTCCTCTTTTTTTAATTCCTTCTATAAAAGTTTCACATAAAATCCATTTTGTTATATATTATCTGGGTTTATATACATGATTTGAACACCCACAAATGGTTTGAACAATCACACATTCATCAAGAAACCATCGATAAACAGTTTGAATTGTATCATCTGTGTAGTGTACACACACTATTGGTTATAGTAGAGGAAAACAGCTACAAAATGAGGCCATCCTATCAGAGAGGTGATTGTTTCATGTGCTTTCTATACATGTTCCTGCCCGCCGCGAGCATCTGGCGCCTCTCCTGGTCTCTACGATACAATGTGTTAATGGTTTGTTTCATGGTTAGCAGAAAAAATAAAGAAATCTTTAACGCAGAAAAATAAAAATTTACAGAATAAATGTGTTAAACGTGCGTATGAATCCTCTTCAAGTATAAAAATACAAAAAAAGCTTGATTATATAAAACATAGATGACACTTTTTTCTTTTTACATGTTCTCTCCCAAATTTAAACTAAATGATTGTTAATATACATACAATATAGCTGAAGTGGTTTAGGTTATACTTTAACTGCGTGCTAGCTTTTAATGCTATTTCTGACACTACTAATACATTCCATAAATGTATTAACTATATAATAAAATGTCTGCTTGTAATTTACTGTGTGCCGGTGGTATAAATACACAGTCAGTGTCAGATTTCCCTCCAGCAAGATGTCACACACCGCGTCGAGCACCGGGTGCGCGCAGGATTATTTATCTTGTCACTTCAGATTCGGTTTACATGAAACCTTTCGTCTCAGCTCGCTGCATTTCTGCGCTTTAATCCAAACTCGACTTGTCACATTCATTAAAACTTTTATAACACACTGATTTGGGAACGGGTTAAACTCTGACAACATACGTGTTGCAGACAAATGTAAAGGTAACACGATTCGCTGTGTCCCAGTTTCACACTTTCACACACCTGCGAAGAGGAGAGTTTATTTTAGTAATGATCATCATTTTCATCATTTTATTTTTGACTGGAGTTGCAAATATTTCGCATTGTTTATTTTACAAATGGGAGTGAATGAGTGGGAGTGGCTAAAGTCACTGGGCGTGTGACTTAGAATAGGGGGCGTGGTTAGAGAGGATAAAACTCGCAGTATGCATGACTAGTTAAATAGTAAAAGTTTTAAAAAGTAGTAAAAGTTTGTTTGTTATGCATCACTTTGTAGCTAACTGTTGGCCACTCATCGTGGACGTTCCAAGCTCCAGCTAAGCACCCAAATCTATCCTCCCTCACTGAAAGCTCTGACATTTTTATGGTTCTGTTGCTGTGTTACTGCTTATCATATACATTTCGGCATAGTCACAAATTTTAGGTTTTTTTGCCCTGTCTTTTTAAGCTTTGTTTGTATATTCTTGTTCAAAAATCCCCCAAAGCAGCATTTTTTTTACTGAGCGTAAAAGTTATTTTTTAAGGTAGCTGAGCCGGTGCGAAGCTGGGACACAGGTATTGTGTTTAGCTGTTAGTTATGGTAAAAGATGGATTTGCGACATACATGTTAGAGGTGAAATCCTCGCACTGCTTCACAACGCAGGTCTGGAGCCGATGGAAAAACCTCCAAATGTGCAGAATAAATTTTACCCTTTTAATTTGGCTCCTTAATGTGAAAACGACCTCTACAGCAGCCGAGAGAGTCAGACAAATTACGCTAATGACAAAATGTCACACCTTCAAGGTCTGAGCTAGGATTTAGGAGTCCAAAACCAGAACGATCCGAGTACTCACTCCTCACGTTATTAGTCCAGCTGAGGCCTGAGAGACCTGAGAAGCAGACAGAGAATGAAAAAAGGCAAAGCAAGGAGAGACAGGAGGAAGAAAGGAGACTGGCTCACGGACCAAAATGATGTGCGAAAAAGCAGCGAGGGGAAAACGTCAGCGAAACTGATGGTGATGTGGTGATGATGATCGCCCAGATCAATGAGCGGCGTTTCTGCTGTAGCGGTGACAAAAGCTCAGCACTGCCCCAAAAAAGCAAGCAGAGAGGGAAGATTCGGGAGCAAAGGAAGAAAAAATTAGAATGGAAACGAGAAGCGGTGAAAGGGAAGGGAAAAAAGAAAAAAAGACAGAAATCAAATTTTACAAACAGACAAATGTATTTCAAGTTTCTGTTAAATCATCCATGATTTATGATCTCCTCCACCGCCCCTTCCCCCTCCCTGTCCCCCTCCTGCGCTACCACTACTTTCCGCTTCGATGTGATTGGCCGCCGGGGACGTCAGGTTTTTTGGTGCATCGGCGTGACAGCCCTCGTGCTTGTGGGTAGACTAGAGAGAAGAGTGCGAAGCTGTCGCTGGGCTGCAGACGGGCAGAAATGATCACAGAGCTGCTGCTGTCAGAGACGAGGGACAGAAAATCTTCCCTTATTCAGCTCTTCTTCCTCTTCTGTGTGTGACGCAGTGACAGGAGGAAGAGGAAACGGGAGTGGAAGGAGGATGAAAAGGAGACGAGGAGAGAAAACAAGAAGACGACAAATGACGAGGGGTGACAAGGAAAGGAGGAGTGAGATTATGACACAAGGAAACAAATGCATCAGACAAGAAGGACAGGGAGGAAGAAGACAGGATGAGCAGAGAAGCTAAAAAAGGAGAGGAGAATAAACAGCAAGGGGAGACAAGAGTAGGAAACATTGAGAGGAGAAAAGGAGAGGTAACCAGGGATGAGGAAAGAAGATGAGGAAGAAAGAGATGTAAAAGGCAAGGAAAGAGGAAGTGGGGACAAGAAAAAAGGAAAGATGAGAAGTACAAAATAGAGGAAACAAGAAGGGCAAGATCAAATGAGGAATGAGGGAGAGAAATCTAAAAGAAAAGGATGGAAAGGAGATAAGAAAGGAAACAAAAAGAAGAGATAAGGGAGAAAGGCACGAGTGAGAATAAAGATAGGAAGGGAAAGGAAGGAAAGGATAAGGAAACATGGGAATGAGGCCGATGGAATAACAGGTTAAAACAGATTGAAAAAAGATGGAAGAAAAGAAAAGCAGAGAGAAGAATGGGAATGGAAGGAGGAAGCAGAGGAAGAAATGAGTGGGAATGAGGAAATGAAAAATGAAGGAGATACGAAGGGGAGATAAGGAAAGAGGAGAAGAGATCATGAGGGAGATAACGAAGGGATGGATAAGGATAGGAACGACTGGACGAAGAAAAAAGGGATGAAAGGAAACAATGAAGAGAGTAGAACAGTGGAAAAAGAAAAGGAGACAAGCAGAGGAGAAGAGGAAAGGAACGATAGGAGGAGGAAAGATAAGGTGTAGCAGAAGCGAGTTTTCCTCTGACCACAGCTCTGTATTAGCCGGGGCTCTGGGGTGTTCCTGAGAAAACATTTATGTTTCTGACCTGCTCTCACTTTAAACACCTCGCCTTCAGCAGCAGCAGCAGCCTCTGCAGCTCCTCTGTGTGCCAAATAAATAAACCAAGTGGAAAAACAACCAGCAGAGGGGGCCGTCCCCCGGCCCCCTCTGCTGCCACTGCTAATGAACGGCTCTGCACATGAGTGGGCTACAGATTTTCCCTCCCATTACACCTCTATGAGCCACACATAGCCCGAAATGGTCTGTCCATCCAAATGTTCGGCCGGCCGAAAGACAAACAAGTTACGTTCAGGAAGATTGACGATGGAGATGGTTTACCGCACTGGGTGTGTAAAGAGAGATTTGATGCATGTGCCAAGAACGCCGTCGCGACTCTTGTTTACCTGATGGATGGGTACTCGGTGCGTACTTGAGTAGCAGCAAACTTAAAGGACTTCTGGTGTTTTCTAGAATTATCTCAACGTTTGGCCACAGACTGTATATAAAAGATGCCACCGGGGGGGCATAATCTGGCAGCAAGAAGAAGCTTGAGATAAATCTGCTTTCTCTGTTAATTTATGACTTCTTTAAACACCTAACTACGGTTGCGCTGGGAGGTCAAATGCAGTGCAACGGAAGAAAACACCAGCAAATGGAAAAATCAGTTTAGGCCAATAAAAGGCTGGTTGGATAAAACGTGTGAGTGCTGGTATTGTCTGTAACCTTGTTGGAACAGGGCGTACAAAGGGGGAAGAATCCAACTCGACAACAGCTTAAGTTCAGCAATAAAAGAAAACTGTTTGTGGTGACAAGGTGCTGCCTGGAGCCCCGGGGGGGACACAGGTACATCTGAGGCGCTCTCGGGAACAAAAGGACGAGCAGAGACAGACGCACCGCCCAGGCTCCGGAGGGGATTTTTAAAAGCGTACCGCCTCCTCTACGCAGCACAGCAGCTTCTCCGTCAAACTGAAGAATGCTAAACAGCAGCCGATACCACAAGAAAACCAAAACAGTGAAGCAAAAGAGTAAATCTAGTCAAGAAGAGATCAAATATGTTGCATCGCTTCACATTATTTTGGCAGATCCCGATGCCTGACACTCTGAATCTAAAAGCATTCGTCTGCCCGGAGCAACATCACACCAGTTCAGCTGATGGAGACGCGGGCATCATGTGAAGTTTACCCGCCTACAGCGGCAGTGCAGCAAAAACAGAAGCAGCGTGGGGAGGAAAACGGTTTAACTTTCCTCCTTTTCACCTTCATAACTTTACCTCCAAACAGCAGATCCTTCAGACTACCTAAAACTGCAGAAATGGACACTTCATCTTCAAACTGCTCTTTCAACTGTCTTGTTCTTTTTAATTTTCAAGAGAATAAGCCTTATTTTACAACTGCAGCTTATGGGGAATTGGTTCCATCTGTCTGAATACTATTAACACTCATCACATTAACATGTAAGCCAATATAATAAAATATAGACTTTAATAGATTTAACTATGTGATTTAAGCATCGATTCACTTTTTAAAAGGTGTAATCGCAGCTACAGAGAGCTGCTAAGCTAGTTAGGTCGGCTACAGTTTGATTCATCTGGATGTCTTTATTTTGCTGTTTTATTTTCTTTAATGTGCAAAAATTCCATATTTGCCAAATACTCTCGAACTTATAATGTGGCTTTGAAGTCATGTAAATTGCTCAGTGTTTGGCAAAAAAAACCCCCAAAAAAATCACTACTTGGGGGCAGGGCATTGTGGGTGGGAGCCCACCATTGGATTAGGGGTCTGACTCAGTAATATGTGAGGTATCCTGCACTGAATGACCAGGTTTGTCTTCCCTGATGGCATGGGCTTATCCAAGATGATTCGTCAGCCTCAGATTGTAAAAAAGAGTGGTTCAGGGAAAATGAGACATCATTTCCACACATGGATCGGACCCCACAGAGTCCAAACCTGAACCCCACTGAGAATCTTTGGGATGTGCTGGGAAGGCTTTACGCAGCGGTCTGACTCTCCCAGCAGTAACAAAAAAAGACAGCAGCCCAGAAATAAATGTGACATTGCATAAGCTTACTGCAATGATGCCACAGTGAACGTGTGCCAGAGCTAACGGTGGCCAATGAAGTATCAATGTGTGACCTTTTTTTTTTGGACCAGTGGAGTATAAGCTTGAGATAAACCATAGTTACATGCTTCAGTTCCTCTTTGTTACTGTTACTGAATCATATCTGTGCATAATCGCTTCTGCTGGGGAAGCAGTAACAGGATGTAAAGTCAGCTTTATGAGCACGTGAACGACCCCCTAACAGGCGTCCTCATCGGCTGCGTGTAGGGGGAATAAACGGCTGGCCACACTTTGTCAGCGGTGGCCGAGGCCTTGCTGAGGTTAGTCCTTTTTCATCTTGATACCAAATATAGTATCATGCACGTCCACCAATAAAAGCCTCGTGCTGCTACTGCTGCTAAATACCTGGCTGCAGCAAAAAAAGAAAAACAAGCTGGAACCACTGATGTCAGCAGGTATGGAGCTGCTACTGCAGGAGTTCCCTGCCATTTTCCTAAAGAATGAGTGAAAGCAGCAGCAGTGAGAGATTTTTTGGTAAGAAGCAGAGCTGAACCCTTGGTTTTGTTCATTTGTCATAAGGCAGACTTCGCTCCAGGTCACCGATCCTGAAGGAAAAGAAGCGTCTGTCGAGTCGTGGCAGAAAGAGCGATCGCGACTTCAGTTTACAGACAACAAAGTTCAAATTTAGTTCCTACGTTCTGGCTTTGACCACATTTTTTTGTAGATTTCTGCAGATTTGAAACACAATTTTGACCCATTTTCATTTAATTTAAAGTAGAGCAGAAGCCAAAAGGAGCGAGGCAGCCACTGAGTTTGGAACAGCATCTTTGTCCATCAACAGGAAGAAGGTAAAACATTAACATTCCTGTGAGGTGGTTTCTAATTCCAGCTCCTAGCTTCAGTGAGTAAACTCGCTGCCGCCTCCCCCAGTTGTGTATTCTTTACTCTTCACTGCCTCCCTTCTCTTTACATTAACTCGTTTACACGAGGCTTCATTTGGCCGCATGGTTGTATGTACAGTAGAGGCTGACATTGACATGACACAGATGAGCCACGCTGTTATCCCAGCGTTTCCATTACAAGTGATGCTCTACAGTTAATTTAGCCGGATGCGATAAGAGAACATGTTTGTGCATAATATTAACAGCACGTTCGATGACATTATCTCAGCCGTGCGTTGGCTCCGGCCTGCGTAATAGAAAAATTACAGTACATTATTTGACCATTTGCTTTCAGGCTGTGTGGTTATAAAATCATGAATTTTTAAAAAGCAATAAGGGAAATGAGGTGCAAAAAAAAAGTGAGTTAATATTCAGACCGGTACAAGATGGCACCGGAGCTGAATACTAATCCTCACGGCCTCTTCGTCCACGAGCGCCCAGATGGCATCGCGTGTCAACTGGAGGTCAGCCATGTTGGCCGCATGTGAACGGCTGTTACTGCTAATATGAGGCATTGTTAAAGACGCTGGCCTACTCGCATACATGAAAGCGAAGTCTATAAAGATATCTGGGCTCATGTGGAGGAGCTGCTTTGAGTTAATGACGGATATCTCATGGAAAAATCATTAATCAAAACCAGCGCTGACACATGAGAGGATGATTGACAGTGACCCGCTGCCTGCCTGACTGAGAGGCACCAGCTGGATGCGTTTTTATTTTCATTGTCAGTATTTACTCAAAAAGGATCGTAGCCAAGGATGGGTCAAGGCTGTTACGCTCAGCAGGTCAGGGGCAGCCCGGAGCGCCTGCAGGACCAGATAAGAGCGAGTGGAGCTCTGCAGCGAAAGGGCCGTGCTTGAGGGTTCATCAGCCAACTTTAACCTCCCGTTTGCACAGACACGCTCAGGAGGAGGCGACGTGTTTTACACCGAGCTGCTGATTTACTCACCGATTTCTCTCTTTGTACTGTGCTGGTGCACGGCAACATAGCGGATGGGAATTTGTGGCAGATTCAGAATCGGCTGCGAAAGGCGTGCTAGCGTACGCGGCATTTTTATTTATTCAAGATGCCTGGATTAGCTCAGAAGCCTCTTTCTGTGTAAAAGTGATTAAACTGGAGGTTTAATTTGCCAACAAACATCGTGGTTAAGTAGTTTGGAATTGTACAAAGCCATCACAGCACTTTAGTAATGAAACACTGCAGGAGTCCATAAAAAATTTGTAAGGTTTACTTTTTAGTCTTTGCGCAACCAGGAACTCACAAAAAAATCTACTTTATCTGCATTTTCTACAGATAACTCCTGAATGTGTGCACTGTAAATCGTCCCAGTTCTGCTCTTTCTGTCACACGGACATACTCCAGGTTTCCCCCATCCTGAATATTGGCTTCTCATGCCTCCTTTTCTTATCAAACTTGCCTGTTAAGGGTATTTGAGGGAACCAAGACAAGTCTCAAGTTTGTCTTGCGGAAAGGAAGGTCACGGTTGTGTTTGTGGTAAGAAAGAAGTGTTAGAGAGTTTTTTAAAGCAAATAAATGCCTGGTTTTGTAATTCAAGCACAACTGGAGCTAAAACAGAATAATTCACCTGTTTATCAAGGTCAAAAGCAACAGCAAATAAAAAGGTTCAAACAAATTATCAATTGGGAAAATAACGTGCAGCTTAATTAACTGAAAATGACAAATCCTGCTCTCAGCTTTACAGCTGACAGTCGGTTGCTTCTGTATATCTAGTTCATCTCCAGTTAGTTTTCGCCTCTGTCGCTCGCTTCAAAGTTAAGAAAAGTTTAACTCGTTACCCGACCATGTCTCGCCACCGGTCATTGATAAAAGTGGCTGATATTCAACCCCACTTCCTTTAGTGTCAGTGGTAATTAAAATGACAGATGGTTACTGGGTCACATGACCAATAGAGCCACAGGCAGTATAAAAGATGGACCGAATGCTCAGGTCTGATAGGTGAAGCCAACATAAAGACCTGCATTCTTCTAACAGCCAGCAGGGGGAGACTCACGTGACTCATCTTTGATAGGAGACTATGGGACAGCAGCCTTGTGATCTCAGAAAACACTTTCAGATCATTAAATCATCATTTCAGGTGTAGTTAAATAAACATGAAGGCTGTTTTGTAAATAATTTTGTAAATTATTGTCATTATTAGAGTCAGAAAGGAGGATTATGTAGGGGGTGTTCATTGGCTACTGAGTTGTCCCATCTGGTTTTAAAATGCCAAGATTGACAGCGGTGAAAAATTAACCTCGAGGCTTCAAAACAGGACTTCTTACTGATGTTTGTCCATCTTTTATATACAGTCTATGGATAGAAGCTAACGAGAAAGTTCGAATTTTAAGTTAAATTTTTAGACGTTGAAATGAAAATAACTTTTAGAGAACTTGACATTAGTTCAAAAGTTTTTCCTGAAACTTTCCTTACACCCCGTTTTATATTCAGATCAATGATTGGAATTAATTTATCTGAAGTTCACTAGCAGGACACCCCAAAGACTCCTCTTCCTGTCACATATCTTCCCACACAACCTTTTCAAAGTCACGGTCGCTTCTACCAGTTTTACAACTGCTACAGTTTTCAAAATTTGCAAAACGCTCAATCACTGCTTCCAGGGGAAGGTGGCTTTCTTTGGGGATCTGTTGCCCCTGATCCTCACTAAGGTCTTCCCCAAATTGCAGCCTGTTGTCTCGCTGCTTCTCGTTCAGCTCATCTTCATTATCTGTTTGGGTTGTGGTCCTTGCTTCCATTCTTTCCATCGATTCGTCTTTGTTTTAACATCACTGCTAAGGGTGCTACTTTAACTCTGCTTACTGCAGACACTAAACTGAAACCTGCACACCATCTTCTGCTGACCTTATGCCTTGTGTTCTGCGCTTGGTGTCTTGCAAAATAATCATAGCATCCTGGCTTTCAAAAAAGGCAAGTAAGCTAGCGTTATGGACTGGCCTAGCGGCTGGACTGTGAACCCTTCAGGTTTTTCAGCGCCTGCTGCAGCCCTGCCTGCTGACCTTGAGGTCTAAATGATGGGTAATAGAAAAAGAGCAGCATGTGGTCATTACTGGATGAACAGACTGAGAGATGAGGAGGATTCAGTGAGAGAAAACATGGTTGGATCAGGGTGAAATATCATCTCTGTGACTCTGAGATATGAAGTCTTTCCGTGGCATTACTGAAGCTTATTTCACACAACGGAGGCAGAGGATGTATCGGAATAGATCTATCATAATAAAGCTAGTTTAGTCAGTCACAAGCACCGAGACCTTCCTCAGGAAATCAAAACATTGACGTACTCGCACGACAAAAACTTGACCTCTAAGCAAGCTAGGTTAGATCCAGTAACTCAAAACACACATCAAGAACTGGTAAAAAAAACAAGGTTTCTGTAGTATTCTCCCCCACTGGTTTGTGTTTGATCTCGTGTCGTCTGCCGGTCAGGCCTATACAGTTTTCATCTCGCAGAAGTCACCGAGGAAGGGAGCGGGACTTCCTTTGGAGTGACAGCAGAGAGGAGAGGCAGAGGCAGACGAAGCATCAGAGGTGGACTTTTTAGAAGTGGAATACCTGCTGCTGACCCTGGACTTTGGGGATCTCCTCTTTTTGCCTGCGGGTTTTGGGCCTCTCCAGGCTGCCTTGCTGGAGGTGTTTGAGCCGGGCGGCGACGGTGGGTCCCTTCATCGGGCCAGGAGAGTTACTGCTGTACTGTGGGAGCCAAGAGAGAGAGAGCACCGTCATTTTAATTTAACTTATTTCGGCTTGTGTTCATGTTGAACCAGCCAAGTGTTGGCATGAAATCAGACACAGCCTCTCTATACTGTAATGATTCGTGACTGTGATCTGCAAGCCCTCCAAATGAAAACACAGCACATGCTGAAAGTGTACTTATTTTTTTGGCCATGTGTTGTAGATTATATTTGTTGTTTTTGAATAGCTTCATTAATGGGTCTTTTTTTCTGCACAATCCGATATCCCAACATCACAGTATTGTTCCACCAGTGCAGCTATCATTAAGTCTTTTACCTCACTAGATCACCATGGCAACAGATGCTGAACATATCTTATGGATATTTAAGATATGTGAGTCCTAAAATCAGTGTCTACTTTTGTCTTGTCCTGATTGGAATCTCAAATACTTGTACGATCAGAACCATTGACTCCACAATGCTACTACAGTTTATAGTGATGCTGTATGCAGCCACCGGCCACTTTATTAGACACACCTGTTCAACTGCTCATTGACACAAATATCTGTTAGCGTACCAATTTAAGCACATGGACATGTTCAAGAACAACAAGGAAATTAGATTTAAGGGACTTTTAATGTAACATGACTGTTTGTAGCAGCTGGGCTATTCTGAGTATTTCAGAAACTGGTGATCTGCTGAGATTTTCCCTAAAAACCATCTCTAGTGTTTACGGAGACTGGTCAGAAAAAGAAAAGCTATGTGGTGAGAAGCAGTTCTGTGGGAGAAAATGCCTTTTTTCACGTCAGAGGACCAAACTGCTTTAAGACGATAGCAGTAAGCTAATAGCTACTCAGCTGACCACCAAAGTATGCAGAGGAGCATCGTTGAGCACACAAATATTGAACCTTGAAGCAGCCTGGGCACAGCAGCAGAAGACCAGACGCCTCTACTGTCAGCTAACGTCTTGAGACTGAGGCTACATTTCATATTTTCTCACTCAAATTGGGCAAAAGAAGATTTAGAAAAATGTTTCCTGGTCTGAGGCGACTTCTGCTGTAACAATCAGATGGTTGAGTGACAATTTGATGTAAACAACATAAAGACATGGATCCATCCAGCTGCACGTCAACAAACTGGTTCCTGGAGCATGAAAACGAGCTCACTGAACTCAAATGACCTCCACTGTCACCAGATTTTAATCCAGTCTTTGGGATGTGGTGAAACGAGAGATTGACATCATCAAATCTGCAGCAACTTTGTGATGTTATCACATAAATATGGAACAAACTGCACACTAGAACAATGTACTTAATAAAGTAGGTCTTCATACACTTTTAAGATCTGTATACCAGACTTTTGTAAAAAAATACTTCAGATCAGTTGTTTTCTGTGCCAGGCTGCATCAGCTGATACCCATCTACACGCCCATCTCATGCAGAGCTTCCTGTTTAAGCTCTTTTAGCCTTGCATCCTTACGTCTTCATTAACATTACATCTGCTGTCACTGATGTTCGCTCTTTTCCGTGCATGTGCAGTGAAGGGTGGTGAATCAATGTACTGTGGAAGGACATCTTTTGAATAAAATGATCCTGACTGAGCTTAAATTGTTAAAAAGTGACAAAAAAATCTTCATTGATAACTGGATTTACATCTATTACAGTGCTGCGCTGTGACGAATGATTGCATAATGTCTACACGTCTGTAGAGAGCAGCTGTTCAGAGAGGATCTGGGTGCCGGTGTTCACCATTCTTGAGTTTTAACCTTTAACCTTTTTTGCGTCTCTTTGGACCAAATTTCAGTAAAAATATTCTACCACAGGAAAGCACAGATTTAATGACCAGTATTAGAAAGAGACAATTTATTTCTGCTGACTTTAATCACTGTTGGCAGGAACTTTAAAGATGCCACGCTGCTCGAAACGCCTTCAGCGAACAAAAGCGGGATCTGAATTTAAAGCACCTGCATGTGAGAAAATAGATTCTTTCAGAGAAACGTTTCTGTCTGCAGCTCTGAACCTGAAATCCCCTCCCTCGCCCTCCCTCCTCGTCTCACCGTCCCTTTATTTTGACAGCTACCTGCTTAGTGGCGTTGTGCGATAATTCCAACAAAAACAAGACCTCTTTTCTCGGCTCAACGTGCCAGCAGAGCTGTCATAAAGAGCACTCTAAACTAAATGCATGATCTGCTTCGATCCGTGCTGACTCACTGCACATCGCATCACGCCGTCAGCTACAAGGAGCTGCTGCAGCGGTTACAGAGACTTAATGCACGTTTTATAAACAAGCATCACAATATGCAAGACTGAAAGTCAGCAGAGGAGAGGACACATTAACAGGGTTAGAAAGAGAAGAAAAGTTCAGCCACCTTAAATTTATATTCAGCCTTCTGCCTACAACTGGATTTTTAAATATGAATGTGGAAAACACACGTTTTCAACTTGAATACACGCCACCAGAAAATCCTGTTATTTCTTTTAATCTTTGATATATTTCAGCGTCTGTTGATCCCACATAGGAGTAAAAAATAAAAAAACTAAATAGGATGTTTTAAATATAGCATACACTTAAATTAGCTTACATTATCACAGAAAAGTAATTAAGCATCACCAAACAAACTGAAACAATCTGAATCACATACAGTGCTGTTAACATGGCAACTTTAATAGATTTTAACACTTTATCTAGTTTTCTGTTAAAACAGGTCATCGTTACTCCCCCAGTCATTTATCCCCATAGCAGCAAACAGCAGATTAATGCCATCAGTCACGGCTCGCAGTACTGCGTGCACAGTGACAGAAAACACTGTGACGCTGCAGTCACATGACATCCTTCACCGTTGTTTGCACGACTTGTACAAGCGAAACAAATATAAGGAAGTCTCGCTCCTCAGAAACAAAATGCAAAATGTAAAGAAGACTTTTGCATGGTGCCCACGGTGCTCTCTCTTCCTCGCTCCTGTAAAGCCAGTTATTGTATTTAAATTGAATTATAATCAGTAAATAAATTCAGTCACTGCTAGCACGCTGAGATGAATCACCAGATTTTCCTCGCCGTGTGTTTTTCTCCTCTAACAGAAACCTCACAGTATAAGGCTGATTACATGAAAGCAGAATGTATAAATGGTGGGAAATGCTGGTGTTTTTTAAACCAAGGTCAGAAAACCACCAGATTAAAGTGCTGTCTACAATTTAGTCTGCTGGCTTTTTACAGCTGTGTTTCCGCTGCTTATTTCAGTGTGACCCTGAAAAAGGTGTTGACTCTTTGTATTAGTCGCTACAAAAGCTTCAGCAGTAGTAGGAAATACAAAGAAAGGGGGAATGAGCAGAAACAGAAGCAGAGCCCACAGGTGTGGCGGAGACAGAAGGCAACTAGAGGTTTTTAATTTACCTTTCTGCCCATGATGCAGGGAGAGGTGGGGGTGGCCTTTGCTGGGCTGCTGTACCCTTTATTACAATCTTTTACAGGCATTCTCTGAAATATCTTTGTAGTTTTATGAAAGACACGTTATCACACCGAGACAACATGTATTAACAGAAATCTGCAACACAAATCAGATGAATAACTTCTCACTTAAAAATCCAGACTAATGTACCTCCAGCTCGGCAATAATCTTCTCTTCGTCGTCTTCATCTTGTACGGCCGAGGCTGCGATCACGGGAGGTGTCGAGGCAGGTCGGGGGGCATCGGAGGGGGTCCGCCTCAGTTTCACGAGGGTTTTTGGCAGGTCACCATCTTCTTCCATCTACAAAAGGACAAAATAGACAAAATAAAGACAACATTTCTAAGGACTGACCTGCCACGGCAAACATGTCAAATTCAATTTCATTTAATTTAGTTAAATTCCATTTTATTCATATAGCACCAAATTGCAGTTTGTCAAGGTAAAAACTCTACAATGAAAACAAAAGAAAACCCTAACAACCATATGATCCCCTTTGAGCAGAGCTTTGGCGACAGTGGGAAGGAAAAACTCCCTTTTAACAGGATGAGACCTCTGGCAGAACCAGGCTCAGGATGGGGCGGCCATCTGACACGCCCAGTTTGGGACGTGGAGAAGAAGACAAGACAATGATGGAGATCCACTGTATGTAACAGAATATAACAGAACCACCATGGAGAGCACTTGCACCAGAAATGACTGGCTTGCTCAAAAAGGGAGCTACGTTTTTTTGTGCTGCCACATGTATCACTGCAGAGACGGAGATTTAAGTCCACTTCTGACAGGCTTTAGTTATGAAAGCGTGACAGGATGAAACAACTCTGGTTAGTGGGGGTAGTTTGCATAAAGAAAATAGAGACGTTTATTTCTAATAGATTTGAGAAAAGGCAGACATTTACAGCATATACCTAAAAAAACAAGTAGAAAAGTTCCCACCAAAACAATCCATATGCATTAACAACACTGTGGACCAGAGGGCAAATACAGATTTATAGTGTGAGCTGAAAGAGGCAGCATGCTGCTGTGAGCCTGCAGCAAAGTCTGCAGAGATCTGCCAAAATCTGAAGCTGTGTGGTAAAAACCTGTCGACGTAGCAGCATGGCAATAATCCTGAAAGTGCTGTTAAAGCTGTTAAAGCCTGGTTAACTCGCACTAATCTGGGGAAACCTGCATTACTCAAAGATCGCTCAGGTAAGTAAAGTGGAAGACTCAAACATGTTAGTTAGAAGATATGACTATAAGCACACGTGTGTCCATGTTAGCCCTGTGATGGACTGGTGACCGGTCCAAGGAGAACCTCGCCTCTCACCCCTCGACAGCTGGGATAGACTTCAGCCACCATGTGACCCTTATTGGAAAAGTGGCTCAGGAAATAGATGGATGTATTCAAACAGGATCAAGTGATCGGTTCTGTGGTTGTTATCTAAAATACTGAAACTGTGGCCCAACAATCAAGGTATGACTCATATGTGGTTCTGGATACTGAACCCTGACGGAGTCTCACCTTCAGGTTCTTGGAGGTGACGATGACTTCTCCAGTACGGTTTGTGGTGAGGCCGTGAGCGGAGGGGAAGCTTCGGCGAGGTGGAGGCGGAGGAGGAGACTTGGAGGGCTTTTCTGTTCGATACTTGGCCACGTTGAGGTCCACTTTAAAAATAAACAGATTTTTAGTATTTAACTTTCATTTTGTTTAAATAACTTTATTTAACATTTATTTATTTATATTGTAAGGTAATATCCCTCCCCTCACCCCAGCTGGTTAGGGGTGAGGGGAGGAAGACGGCACAAAGGCACTTCAGTCAAATCTGAAAGCTCAGATTTAAATCTGAAACACAAACTGACCTGAGCCTCGATGCGAACCAGCCCCCTCCATGCTGTTCAGCTTCTGGGCAGCCAGCTGCACCTTTCCAGGCTGCTGGTCCCCGCTGGGTGTGGTGTTTGTAGTGGTGGAGGTCGTGGCTGTGGTCCCAGTGGTCCCAGCTGCAGAGGTAGCTGCGGCGGACGTTATTGGGATGGTGATCTGGGGCTTTGGGGGCACTGCCGGCTTGTTTATGTGCCTGGCAGCGAAGTCAAGGTCGGGGATGGCTTTCATCAGCTCTGCCTGAGTCTCTTCCAGCAAGCGATTGATGTCCTGGGCGCTGAACTGGGTCAAGCTGGCACGCTTCTCCTCCCAGTCCCGCTCGGCCGCCTGACATAAATACAGATATAGACAAATGATATGCCCTAACATGCAAACTACTAAGAGGCAGAGCTGGAAACGCATAACCGAGGCAGAGAGAAGCAGTTTGTTTTCTAATGCTGCATGGACAAATGGAATTATAAACAAACTGCTGGCGTGTGAACACGGTCTCATGGAGGGATTTAAGTACCTTCAGATGCAATTTCAAATGTAAATGGATATTTGCCATCTGGCCGATCCTGACAACGTGCACATTAAGATTGTTCACACCAGTAAGATGAAGAAAAACAGTCATAATGAGGAGCTCATTACCAGTCGCACTTCGGCGGACACAGACTTATCAGGAGGACGCCGGCTTGGCAGCTCATCAAGAACTCGATTTCTAAAGGTCATCGTAGGCTGGATGTCCTGCTCGGGGCCCGAGGTGTCCGCGTCGCCGGCAGACACGGGCATCCAGTTGGCCAGGCCGGCGCTGGTGCTGAGATCGGTGAGGCTGAGAGGAGGACTGTTCAGGATGTCGAGATCAGAGGTACGACTCAGGTCATCGGCTCGTTTCTGCGGTTGGCTGGAGAGGTCCTCGGGGCTCTTCCACACCCCCTCGGTGACTTGTCTTTTAACAAAGGGGACAACAGAATAACGGTAAGGTCATCAGCTAACACAATGAAGTCTATTGTCATTGATTAACCAGCTTTTATTACGTTTACTTTAACAAACTCTGGTAACGAATCATAAATGATCCAAACTGTTGCTGACTGACTGCAAAAACTCAAATATCAAAAACTTGAACTGTTGAACCCATAAAAAGTCTTTATGTTGTAAAACACTGGCTCCAGCACTCCTGCTAATTAGATCTCTTCTGGAAATCTTGTTCTGAGCACCTGTAGAGGAACCTTCATTGCGTCGGACAGAAAGCCTTCAACGTGTCTCAGGATGTTACAGCAGAACGAGGCCCTTATGGTCTGATCCTGTTTATGGCTCACAAAGCTGTAAATGTTGAAGTAAATACACACTGCTCCTGGTTGTGCCACCTTTGGGTCAGCTCAGGCAAACTTATTAAACCCAAAGCTCCTATTAAATGTTTTGACTGCCTTTTGACAATCGTGCAAGTAAAGATCAAGAACAAAATGGTTCTGAAAGTTTGTTTGCACATGAACCCGTTCAAACTTGGAGCTTTGATCAGGATGTCATATGATGTCACATCTACACAAAGCTTCAAATCAAACCAGGCGCATTGTAAAGCACTGACTCTGAATGGGTTCTTTTATTTTGAAATTAACTGGCTTCTCTATGATACTTCTGTGTATATCTTCCTGCCCTTCCCTCTGCTGCTGAGAGCTACTCCTCAGATGCTTTTGGAACGTCTGCCAGACGTGCCATCACCGTTCGGGGCGGGCGCCATTAGCTCCCGTGGCCACGTCGGAACCTGAAAGCGACACAGCTGCGCCCGGCACATCCCGGGTTCATCTGTTCTGTGTGACAGTTTTATTTGTCTGTTTGTTTGTGTCTATAAATGTAACGATGTTTGCTGCCATCTTCAAGATGTCTGTCTGAATGAGACTTTTTTTACCTAGTTAGATAAAGGATTATTAAAACAAACATCACTGCAGATCACCACCGAGGGTAAGTGATATATTACTCATCGCATGAACGATTGAATTACCGCATATGAGGAACTGAAGAAAGATGACACAGCTGAAATAATTGGCCATACTTGGTGTACCGGAGAGGAGTTTCTCACATATTTTAATCCTACTGATCTTACATTAAAGTCCTGCAGCTCCCCAAGAAAACCGGCATCAACATTTTTCTGAGATTTATAATCCCGTTTACAGGATTCAGACTTCTTAATCTGAACTTCCCGAACGGCTGCTTAGACAGTTTTTAACTTTCAACTTTTTCTTTCAATTAAAAATAAATACAAAAACCTCGATATATGACATGTTATCATTTTGATATCAGCAGAAACGAGGCGTTCTGTCTGATGACCAGAATGCTTAACCATTAATCAGAAATACCAACAGTGGAAAGGAGAGACTGCTGCGCCCGTCAGCTCTCCTCTGATGTTCTCGGTGTTCACACAGGACTCACGGGCATTATTCAGCATTTGGCAGCGCAGTCATGCATCAGTTCTGATTTTACTTCCTTAAATGTTAATCTTAAACACATAATTGGGAATCCCATATAAGCTGCATTCCACTGATTCCACATTACAACAAATCCTTTTTCAACCCTGGACCTTTGTTTTGGATAAAACACGAAATTAAATAAAAAAAAAAATTGCAGAACTTTTATGTAGTCATTAGCACCGCACAAGCCTTTGTTTCTATTAAATCTGTGTAGATGTTAATATATACCGATCAGGCAAAACAAAATGACCACCTGCCTGATATTGTGTTGGCATCTGGCACCAAGATGTAACTAGGTCCCTTTTAGTGGTTGGAAAAGACCTTCTGATAAAACAGATGCATCACCTCATTGCAGTTACTGCCTCTAAAATGAGTGTAACCTCAATCTTGAGCAGTTTGTGCAAGCTTAGTTAAATTCTGAGTAAAGGTAAAGGGGGAGTAGAGATTCTCGCGAACACACAGATGGACAGACGCCTCGGCGTGGCACGAGCTCATTGTTCTTTTTGGCTCATAGACTGTATATAAACGATGGATGTAGTCACTCTCACTTGGTTTATAAAGTCGTACTTTTGACATCAGAAGGTGACCATTTTTGCCTTTTGCCATCTCGATGTTTGAAACCAGATGTGGCGAACCAAAGATGGTCAGGACACCACCCGCTCATATTGCAGCAACGTTAAACATTCACAGTCTAATGCATTAAATTCATCCACCCAGGTGGGACTGCCAGCTGTTCTACTGTAACTTGCTGAAGTGTCTGAGGGGGAACTTCTAGGAGTGACTGTGACACGGCAAATGAAAAACTCTGAGCATTTTGCTGTCACCAGACTTGCATCCCTGTGCTCCATCCAAAAAATGAAAATCAAGTTGAAATCAAGATGCTGTTTTTAGACGATGGAGCCGATCCAGAACACATCACAGGGGGAGAAGCATAAGGACACTTCTACTGAGAGATCTCAAATGAGCAGCTGTGATGAAAAGAATTCAGAGGTGAACGGGAAAATGACCATGAAGAGGAGATCAAGTACGATTTTTGATTTATCTGGGCTCGTTCCTAAAACCTCGATCACATGTTGTGTATACATTGTAGTTTAATATCCTTATTTAAGTCCGTTTATAATCTGTAAATAAAGAAAAAACTATTTTTTATAATAATCAAATGATAAAAAAAAAATTTAAATAATTGATTGGTCCTGATAAGACTGACGTCAGCTGTATTATCTAAACCAAATTACTAAAAAATGATGACTGACTGTGTGGTTTGATGTAAATCTTGCAGAAAATACTTGAGCTGCTTTAATAACTGAGCGAGGGTTCATTTCACTTTTATTTGAGTACCTGCGCAGCGTGCTGAGAGCATCCGTCATGGTGTTGCAGCGCTTCAGCAGGGCATCCAGACGATGAGGCTCCTCTTTCAGGAACTTCACAGCCTCCACCTCCACCCTCAGCACCACGCGCATCTTACTCTGAAGGCTCGGGAACTGGTCTGCACAGGGCGGGGAGGGAAGAGGCATCAGTGAAAACAGAAAGCTGTGTGTCAGAAAGATATGTTGAAATGTTGATGTGAGAAGAAATAGAGCCGGAGAGCAGGGACGGCGGGAGGAGGCGGATTACAGGGAAGGGGACATAAAGGGAAGACGGGATGCTGTTTCTGTCACCCAGGATTTTCCTGTCATATCCAGATGATTCCTATGAGGAGGGCTCAGCGGGGGTCAGCTAAACGAGAAGTAAGGACATGTTAGCTTGTTGTAACATCTGAGATGTTGGATTTCAGCAGAAATGGCGGCGCCTCAGGGGCATGTCCTGGCCATGTCTTCTTATCTGTACATAAACTTTTTTTAACATATGTTTCATTCTTTGTAGTATTTATATGTCCTGTTTGGGTGTGTGTTGGTAACAAGCTGTATATGCCTCAGATTCAGACTGTTCTTCTGTTTTTAATAATTAAAGAAATGCAGAAAAGACAAAGTCGTTCTCCACCCATGAGCAGGTAGAAGAATGGATGGATGTTGGTTGAAGTAAAGTGTTAGATATGTTAGCTTTGTTTTATCCATTGTTCTGTTTTTCTTGCCTACTGATTATGTTTTGTTCTCCCCTTCATCTGAGTCTGATGTTTGTGTGTTTTCATTTGGTCCCTCTTATTTCCCATTTTATTTTGGAGGTTAGTTCCTCATGTGGTTTTCTATAATTTTGCTTCCCTCCTTTGTTCTTTTCCCGCCCTTGTTTTAAAAAAATATTATTTTATTTATTGGTTTTTGTTTTTCCATAAAAACATAAACATAAAGAACAAACTAGAGGCTGTGAGGCACATGGGAAATTGAAGATGATGCGACTGCTACAACGGTCACTTTAAAGAAATATGACCAAGAACAAGTTAAATAAATAACCTCTACGTCTTACTGGATGATTTTTTTTTTCCCTGTCCCGTTTGGCTCTTTTGCCATCAGAATAGTTGTCTAAAGGCAAAGAAAGATGCCCAACGGATTTACTTTACCAAATTGACCATCCCAGCCTTGCCATAATGGTCCATTTGATTCACCTTTTAT